CGGCGGGGGACAACATTGGGCCTTCTACACAGATGGTGGGGGCTCCTTGGCATTACTCTGCAAAAAGCCGTAAGCCACATGGTGCTGGAGGAGTGGTCAGATATCCCGACTCTGAGGCTTGAAGCCCCCTGCCCGCTGGACGAGCTCGCTGTCCTGTAGGCTGGGGGGGGGCGCCTTCCCTCCTCCTCCTCCTCCTCCTCCTCCTCCTTTTCCCTGCTTCGTCGCGCGCCGGGGCTGTGCAGGTTCCGTCGTGTTTCACCCCCATTTGCGTTTAGCGAAAGGCACTTGGAGGTGTATGTGTGTGGGCTGCGCTGCGGGGGGGGGGGGGGGGGGGGGAAAAAACGAAACGATTAAGGTTTCGCGGCCGAGATGTAAATTATCCTCCTCTGTCTCCTCCCACCCCCTGCTAAATTTGTCTTCTGCCCTTATAGCTTGCGCGCTTCTTCTTCTTCTTCGTCTTCTTCTTCTTGTTCTTGTTCTTCAGATAGAAATTCAGCGAACTCTCCCGCCGCCGCCTGCCAACTCACGTCGCCGAGGCCCAGCCCCAAGACCTTGAAGCGCTGCGTCGGGACATCCAAGAACTCCGCGCCACGCTGCCCCTTTCCAAGAGGTCCAGGGGCGTGACCCGACGTCTGCACCTCCCTGACCACGGAGACCCGCAGGCTATGGATTGGTAGTGCCCGAGCGCGACCGCTACGAGGTAGGCCATCACCTCAGCTCTCGGTTCGCTGCTGCCCGCTCCCTCCCGTGAGCGGGCCCATGGTGCGCGCCATGTTCCCCATCGCTTCGTCGCGTGGCGCACCGGAACGCGACTCGGCCAACGGCCTGGCGCCGTTGCCGCGGGGGTGGGCGCGTCGCAAAAATGCGCCAGTCCTCGGCATCATCACCTTCATCGCGCTCGGCCGAGGGGCTGCGCCGACGGCATCGTCCTCGGGCGGGCGCCGCCCCAGCAGCAGCCTTTGCTAAGACGCGCTGCCGCGGGGCTGCAGAGGCCGCAAGGCGGCCTGCAGCAACCGGTGAGGCAGCGCCAGCGTCTCCACGCTCGCCCGGCCCGGCCCTTTGATGTCCGAGGGCGGCGGGGCGGGCCCGCGGCTCAACAGGGGGGGCGGCCGAGCGGATGCGCGGCCAATCGAAGCGCGGCGTACCGCGCCCCAACTGCGGGGGCTCCGTGCACCGCGCGAAGCCGTCTGCGCGCGGAGGGAGGGGCCCGCGCGGCCCACTCCCGCGCGGCGGGAAAGGCGCCTCGGCGGCCACGACAACGCCGTTGGCGCTGGGCCGCTCTGCCCGACGTCCTCGACCTCGAACAGCGCGGCGCCGTCGATCGTGCGCCGCCGCCGCGCGTCAGGACCCGGCGCGGGATCTCCCGCCGCCGGGGCAGCCGCGGCGCCGCCGCTAAACGGGCCTGCCGCCGCCGGCGCCGGCGCCAAGGCCTTCGGCCTCGCCTTCGCCTTGGCTTCGGCCGTGGCCTTGGGCGGCGCCCTCCACGCCCGGGCCAGCCTGGGCGGACGGCGGTGCGGCGAGCTTGCGGGCGCGGCCCGCGACGGCGGCTCGCTCTCCAGGCGAGAGCCTCGCGCCGCAAGCGTGCTTGGTTGGTGGCGAGCGTGAGCATGTGGCGAGTTTGCCCTCGGTGGCCAGGGCCGGGCTCTGGCGTGGGCCGAACCGGCCCTGCGCCAGCTGCGCTGCAGGCGCCTCGGCAGCTCCGGCGCGCGGGAGAACGGCCCCCGCTGCTGGGGCGGTCGCCGCCGCCAGGCCGCCCGCCGCCCGCGGGCCCGGGCCCCGCTCGCCCACGCGGGCCCGCCCAGCGCCGCCAGCGCCAACGCCAGCGCCAACGCCCGCCGCGGTGGCGCCCCGAAGTGGCGGGCGGGCGATCCAATCACCCGAGGAAGCCACTGGGAACGGCAAGGCGGCCACTCCCCGCGGAAGCCCGCAGGGGGGTGGACAAATGTGCTGCGCCGTAGCAGCTGCCATGCGCGCTCCGGGCGGCCCGGGCGCGATCGTCCGATTCACCCCCCGGCCCGAACATCTACCGTGAACGTTTATATAGTTATATTTTATCTGTCCTCCCTCTTCCTCTTCCTCTCCCTCTCTCTCACTCTCACTCTCTCTCTTTCTCTCTCTCTCTCTCTCTTTCTCTCCTCATCCTTTTCCTCGTTCCTCCTGCTCCTCATCTTCGTCCGCATTTGCGTCAACATGTTCGTTTGAACCCGTGGCGTTCGACCCATCCCATCACCGTGCCTGGGCTGTGTGAAGCCTATTGGATTCCTGCGGGGCTCTTGAAGCGTCAGGCTCGGATTTTCGGTTCGTGTTCCCTCTATCGGTCCCCCGTTGGGGCCCTTTTCCAACCCTTTTGGGCCGTTTTGGGTGCCTCATGGGCCGTCTTGGGGCCCTCTTGGGCTGTCTCTTGGATGCCCCTTGGGCCTTCTTTGGGTGGTTTTGGGGGCCTCTGCGGCCGTCTGGCGAATCGTGCTCCCTGCTGATGTCGGTGGGCCCCCTTTGTCGCTTTGGCATCGGCGTTTCCCCGGCATTATCTCTCGCCTGCTTCATCGAAACCAAAAGCACACGGTGCCCTCCCGCAATCGACGAACTCATTGATTTAATTTCGGGAGGTTCCAGAGGAGCGGATCGTTCACAATCGATCTCAACATCCTGGGCCCTCGATTGGACCGACGACGAGGCCTCTCCAAGAATGTGGGCGAGCGGAACATCAATCAGTGGCGCGGGAACAATTTTCTTGACCTCCCACGTCAATCACGATGTTGCTCCCAAAACTGTCGGCTGCTACCGTCTGCGCATTTGAATCGGAAGCTTCATCCTTGTCCAAGTGTGCATTGGCTGCAACCGTTTGCGTTTCGGCTGATAACCAATCACTTCCCAAGAGAACGCATTCCCCCGCAAAAGTGGGGTATGATGGTGGTGCAGGTTTGGTCTCCTCAATGGTCTGGAGATCACGTAACGACATTGCAGTGCTGTCCGTTAAGCTGTAACGAACGCGACGAGACGGCGACGACCCGACGGGTGCGCCTCTTATGCAATCGCAGGCCCGCGGTGTTTGCTTGAAGTTGTACATACATAGCTGTGGGCCGAACAGTTCAATATCGGCAACGACAGCGGTTTGGCGGCGGCGGCGGCCCAGACACGGCGGAAACAAACTTCTAACAACTCGGATGCAAGTACATTGGTGTGGCGATCGCTGCAAGGCCACAGCAAGCTATCCCTACTTGACGAGCGGTGCTGCGTGCTTGTGACCACATGTGAGTCACCAGCGTGTCAATCGAAACCATTGCAAACATCTTGGAGAGGGGCACCTGGACTCCTGGACACGCACTGTATTGTATGGGAGCTCTTGCCCGAGTCCGGCCACACTGGCATGCATGCGGTCCAATAGTCGATGTCAACAGTAGTATTAGACGCATACTCTTGTCCAGCGTGCACAAAACCACATATAATAGCAATGAAAGCAAAAGAAAGCGTTGATAACACTACGTCACCACCAACAAACTGTAACGAGTCACGTGCTCCACTGGGAACGGCCGAGCTCTGAAGGGAGACAACTATGGGCAACTATGAGAGCAATTCGTTTGCCTCCATCCGCGAAAATGTTGTCGACGCCCAAATCTAAATAATGACGTCTCAAACTAGCATGATAGGGGTTCACCAGAGTTGCCCAGAGTCAACACTGTGTGTTCCTCGTCATGTGCATCGACATTGGCAGGATGGATTTTCGTCATGTGGTTCCAAAATGATATGACAGTGTCGGGGTCGAAAATGCTGAGCTGTGCAAAACGCGAGCGGCTGGAATCGTCGAACACAAAACAAGTTGATCCAACCCTGCTGCGGAGTGGTTTCTAATGCCCATGTTAGGATCCCTTGGGAGGGGCCATTCCGGCGGATCTGGGGATTCTGGGGGGCCGTTACGGGGTGGTCTTGTGCAGTCTTGAAATCGTCCTGGGGCTATCTTGGAGGTTTCATGGGTGCATATGGGGCCTGTGGGCTCCTGCACGTGGGCCATCTGAAACTAAAGTTGAGGGCGAGGAGAAATACTGGAGCGTCTTGGGGCCACTTTGGCGCTATCTTGGGGCCTCTTGGGCGGTCTCCGGTGCCTGGTCGGCGGTGGGCTTCCCAGGACCCAGGCTGGGGCCTCCTGGCGCCCACCAGGGTCTCGCGGGACCAGCTCGGCGGGTTCCGAATCCATCTGGGCGGGTGTTGGGGCCAGACTGGGCCGCTCTTGAAATGTCTACTGCAGCCGTCTGGGAGCTGCAGGCTGTCTTCTCAACCTGGGGGAGGTTTGCTGGGCCCGCGCTGCAGGGCGCCCCCGAGGGCACCAACACCCTGGCAGCAACTGCGAAGCAAATCGCCGTGTACCTGACAACCTGGCACGCGGCCGTATACCTGACAACCGGGCACGCTGATCACGGTTTTGCATGGCCTTGCCACGGGAAGCCTTCTCTGCAGGCTGCGCACGTGAATTCCTCCTTGACGCTGGCTGTTTCCACGCCCCGCGCTCCACCAGCTCTCGAGCGCGCACCCTACGCACACTCGTCCCCACCGACTGTTTCGTCTTCGTCTGCGCGGGCGGTGCCTCCACCTCTTCCCGAAACGTCTTCCCGTATTTCCCGCAGCATGCTCGCGCCTGCTTCTCCCCCCCCCCGCGCGCGAGTCCGCGCGCGCGACTTCCGCACACAAGGAGCACCCCGAGACACTACGTGACGGGAAGAGGTCGGCGGATGTGGCGTCAGCCTGTAGAATAGGACGGCATCAAGTTTTCTCTCAGGCGTCAGCGCCGCCGTGAGGTTTTCCTTTTCCTTGTTGCAGGCGATGCAGTCACACACAACATAGGTATGTACAGATATGTATACAACCATGTATGTATGCATGTATGTATGTATGTGAATATATGTATGTATATGGATATCTATGTATAGGTTCGAGCTCGTTGCGCTCATGCCATTGCTGCGAGGCCCTTCGTGGTGAATGACACCGGTGACCATATGGGGGGATTTGGACATCCGGCACATGCGTAGCCCTCAACCTCAACGCTGCGTCCGCGCCTGTGCCTAAGCCGACCTCCCCGCTCTTCTTGCAGCGCTGGCGCCTTCTTGCAGCGTCTGGCGCGCTCCCCCTTTCAGGGCGCGCGTGCTGCCTACGCTAAGGGCGGCGCTCCGTTCCTTCTCCCCTCGGCCTCAACACCCCTAACCTTCCATCTTTCCCCTCACATTAAAAACCTAACGCCCCGAACATCAAGACAACATGCTTGGCCATCTCGTCCGTGCCGGGAACCAAGAGACAAACCGCCCTGACACGTACATGTATTTTCCTCTGGCGCGCCGATGGCTTGCAGTGGGCGTGCAAAGCAATGCAACGGCGGGCTACCACACATAGACACAGACACACATGTTGATTCGGCACCCAAGTGCGCAGCATCGCGGAGGTCACAGTCGGTGCAAGATCCGAGCCGAGCAAAAAAAGTGGAGATGCGCACAGGGAGAGGCGGCAGCGGGGGAGGCGAGGGCGGACGACCAGGACGCAAACGGCGGGCAAGAGGGACAGCATGCCGCAAGCACGCGCATAGACAGACGCCAGCACACGCACACGCAAACACACGCAGGCAGATAGACAGAGGTACAGACAGACAGGGCCACACAAACACGCACACACACAAACCACACAAACACACACCACACACACACGCACACACGCACACATATACACAAACACGCAAGCACACAAACACCAGAACACATACACACACAAAGCCCAAACCCACACAAACACACAAACACATAAACACACAACGCACAATCACACACACAAACACACAAACTTATAAACCCACAGACGCGCAAACACACCCAACACACACAAACACACATATACTCAAACGCACAGACACAAACACACAAGCACACAAACACACAAGCACACAAACAAACACGAACACACAAGCACACTAGCACTCAACGCACACCAAACAAAAACACCCACACATACAGACACACACACACACGCATACTGTTTGCTTTGTCGGCAGTGCTGGCGGACGCAAGCGCGACAGTAAACCGGCGGGGCGCGCCTAGCTATAACGCGCGAGTGCGGGTGGAAAGGGAAAGAGCAGACAAACACTGAGACGCGCGGGCAGACGCGCAGACAGAGAGACAGAGAGACAGACAGACAGACAGACATACAGACAGACAGACAGACAGCGCGTCCGCCCTCGTTGCTCTCTTCCTCACTTCGTGAGCAGAACAGCTTCTCGCCCCGCGCGAGCGAAAGGTGGCGGGGCAGAGGCCGCGGCCGGCGCGCGCGCGCGGGGGGCCCGGGGCGGCCGGGCCCCGGCGCGCGCGCGTGGGCCGAGCGGCACCTCTCAGACGAGAAAGTTCCTCTGCGCGCCGAGGGGCGCGCTCGGCGTCGCGGGCCTTGGGCGAGGCGAAAGGGGCCGACGATGGGGTGGCCTTCTTGGCTGCCGGAGCCCCCTCCTGAGCACCGCGCTTCAGCGACCGCGCCTCCATGGCTGGGAAGTTTGGGGGTCGAAGGAGGAGATGAGAGGCTGTTCCGCACAATGAGTGCAGTCAAAAGGTAGCAACAATTGCCCCTGGAACGCGCAGCGTGACGCGATCAAGAACGCGTGGGAAATCATTGCATTCCTCACCGCGCTGCTTGTGCACCAAGTTGTCCGGCACATTGGGGGCCGTAGTGAGTATGCCCCCAGTCCCTCTGCAGGCTTTGTCCTTCAGAGAAAGTGCGATGTGTCGACGCGCAGCAGCGCGAGTATGGCAGACACACCTGCGCCAAGGGCACTGATTCGTTACGGTGGCAACGTCTGCGTACTGAAGTTTGCTACGCCCCCCTCCCTGTTTCATGCGCTGGTGGATGATGAATTGTTTTCTGGTTGGGAACGTGGCTCCGCACGCAGCCCCCCTGTCGACCGAAGGTTGCAAACGTAAGCTAATTGATCCTCGCCTGGCAGGGGTTGGGGCGCTTTTGCATCGGCAGGGGGCCCCCGTCCAGGCGGCGGAATTCGACGGCAAAATACTGCGCGCGCAACTCCGTGACATCCAAACGCATGAAATCTTCCCGCGCCATCCTTGACACAAATGCAAGTGTGCCTGCCTTGCAGTGTATCCAACAAGTCCCGCCCATAGTCTATACTCTGCCACGCAAGCATGTCCCTCCGAAGTCTCTGTGCCAATGGTTTGATGTCGGCAGTCCTTCCCAGAGTCCCATCCGGCAAGACCGTCGGAGCCGCTTCGCACCGCAACTGTCCGAACATCGCCGCGAACGCATCCAGTGCAGAGGGCGGTGGGCAGCTAGCTGCTGGTGCCATCGCAAACGCCGCGCCTGTAGGTCTGACTTCGACGGTGCCATGTGAAGACATGCCCACAGTGCACTATTCGGTGCTGATGTGTTCTTCGTCGCACCATTCGCGTCTACATTGCGCGTGCACGCCCCTCCCTTCGTCAATTCCCGCCCAAGTTTCAACGGTTCAAGGCCGACGGTGGAGAGAAGGCGGGCGCGCGCGGGGGCGGAAGAAGAACAATGGGCCTTCTCCTATTCCGCGCCGGCGAAAAGTCGTCGGGCGAAGGCCGCGGCCGACGCGCGCGCGGGGGCCCGAGGCGGCCGGGCCCTGGCGCGCGCGCGCGGGCCGAGCGGCGCCGCTCAGTGGAGGAAGTTCCTCTGCGCGCCGAGGGGCGCGCTCGGCGCCGCAGGCCTCGGGTAAATATAATTATGTATATATATATGCATATATGTATATATATATATATATCGAGAAAGAGAGAGAGAGAGAGAGAGAGAGAGAGAGAGAGAGAGAGAGAGAGAGAGAGAGAAGAGAGAGAGAGAGAGAGAGAGAGAGAGAGAGAGAGAGAGAGAGAGAGAGAGAGAGAGAGAGAGAGAGAGAGAGAGAGAGAGAGAGAGAGAGAGAGAGAAGAAAGAGAGAGAGAGAGAGGAGCGCAGAGAGCGAGAGAGAGAGAGAGGAGAGGGAGAGGGAGAGAGAGGAGAGAGAGAGAGAGAGAGAGGAGAGAGAGAGAGAGAGAGAAAGAGGAGAGAGAGAGAGAGAGAGAGAGAGAGAGGAGAGAGAGAAAGAGAGAGAGAGATAACGATATATATATATAGAGAGAGAGAGAGAGAGAGAGAGAGAGAGGAGAGAGAAGAGAGAGAGAGAGAGAGAGAGAGAGAGAGAGAGAGAGAGAGAGAGAGAGAGAGAGAGAGAGAGAGGAGAGAGAGAGAGAGAGAGAGAGAGAGAGAGAGAGAGAGAGAGAGAGGGGGGCGGAGGCCGAATAACCTGCAGACGACTGCGACGCGCGCGGGGGCTGGGGAACGAGAGAGAGAGAGAGAGAGAGAGATAGAGAGAGAGAGAGAGAGAGAGAGAGAGAGAGAGAAAAAAAAAAGAGAAAGAGAAATAGAGAGAGAGAGAGCGGGCAAGTAGGCGGACCAGGGTCCGTCCGCGAGGCGCACTGCGGTGCGACAACTCGCTAAACACTATTTGCGGCGGTGCAGCCTTTAGATACGAGGGCGGGCAACAAAAACCCCCTCCCCCGGCGCAGTGCGACAGACGCTACAGACGGCGGACAGACGATGATGATCTCACCTGTCAGACCGCGTAAAGAAAGAGGCCCCAACAAGAAAGGCGACGTGCTGACACGTGGCTAGGCGGCTTGGCAGACCGCCAGTTGGGCGCTTGGCCGCTAAGCGGCGCGCAGTGACGGGGCACCCCCCGCCCCCACGCCCTGACACCGTGGACGCGGAGCCACGCGTACACACGGGCAGGCAGAAAGGAGGAGATTAGCGCGGGGCACCAGGTGGAGCGCCGCGGAACGATGACAGCATAGCTTGGATGGTGAGTGACGGCACGGCACCATCGGGCGAGGGCGTGAGCAGCTCGGCGAAGGCTCGCCCGGCGCTGTGGAGGCGCTGGAGTAGAGGGCCTTGGCGAGCTTGGGCGGCGGCGAGGTCCGCGGCGAGAGCAACGCACCTCTGCTGGAGAGCAGCCATAGCCTGGGACAGCTCGGTTTCGCGGTCGGTGAGGGGTGGCTGCTCAGTGCCAGCGGCCGAGGGCCTCGAGACAGAGGCGAGGTCCTCGGTACGCCTGTCCAGATGGTGGACTAGCGTAGTGCGGCACCCTGTACGCTGTCGTCCGTCACCCTTGAAAGGTGACTGGAGGGGAACACGCGACCCCAGGGCTGGAGCCGCTAGGGCCACGCCCCGAGAGGTCGGGAGAGCCGCATCCTCTCGCTCAGCAACGATGGAAGCGTGGACGGGGCGCGAGGGCCTGTCTGGTTCAGTGCCCTGCGGGGGGGCTGAAGCCGCCCCCGCGGGCTGCCGCCGGTGGGGGGGCGGAGTGGTTTGCGCGGTGGGACCAATCATGATGCCGTGCAAGGGCTCTGAGGTCGGTCGCGTAGAAGGGTGGCGTCTCGGTAGGGCGGCATGGTCGGCAGCGTGGGGTGTCGGCGGTGCGTCGTCTATGCCACTCAGTCCGCGGGGGTCACCCAGGTCGTCGTCGGCGTCTTGGCGGTGGCCGATATCATCGTATGGGGGCGATGTCGCTCTCGGGGACGGAGTCGCGGTAGGCATCGAGAGGTTGCCCGACGGGGCAGGGTTTTCGCTGACTGGTCCGTCGTCCAAAGCGTCCGATCCCCCACCGAAGCTGAACAGGTCGTCCTCCTGTTCGTCAGCGTCTTGAAGGTGAGCGGCGTTGTCATGTGGGTGCGATGCCGCTCTCAGTGGCGGAGTCGAGGGCGACGTGCGGGTGCCCGACGGGGCAAGGTTGGCGCTGGCTGGCCCGTCGCCTAGGAAGTCAAGGCCCCCGCCAAAGCCGAACGGGTCGTCCTCCTGTTCGTCGAATATCGCCCGTTGGGCCTCGGCCCAGAGCTCGTCCGGGTTCTGTGGGATGTCTGGTCCAGCCGCGGGTGGTGCCTGGTCAGACAGCAGGGGATTTGGTTCCATTTTGTTGAGTTCCGCAGCTGTGAACCCAGCCCTGCGGTGTGGGAGGGGGAGTGTGCGGTGTCTACGCTCGTAGATGGCGACAGCGACTCCATGAAGCACGGTCGCTTGGCGATGTCGTGTTTTGGCAGCTTCGACAATGTCGTCTGGAAGGTTATGAGTACGTGCCGCCGTTGTGGCGAGGGCGTCAGCCTGACGATTGAACTCCTCCGCGATGGGCCCGATGAGCCCGAGGTCGATGCCCATGTCGCCC